ATGTAATGAAATTGTGCATATGTTCTGTTTGACTTCTTTCATAAAGCATCATGGTTTTGAGATATGTCCAAATTGTTCCTTCATTGCAATGTTACATTGTAGGCTTTTTGTTGTTGCTTATTTGTTGGACAGTATCTTACCTGTAGCCCAGGCTGGACTCAAATTTTGAGATTCTCCTGCCTCAGCCCCCAGTGTTGTTATTACAGGCATGCTTCACTATACTGGTCTCCATGTATGGGTTTTTAACCACCTGCCTGTTTATTGAGCTATGGGGGCTTCACTTTTATAGGGCCTTGACGCATTTATCAGATGCTCCATTATAGGGTCTTGGCACAGGCACTGCCCAGGGGCAGGTTTGTTTGTGCTGGTGGATATACTGTTAACCACAGGACTGGTAAAGGAAGCCAGAAAACTCAAGAGGCTGAAATCTTTTGACATGGTGCCAGGACTGGCCCATTCTAAGAACACATCCCAGTCACTAAATGAAGTTTTTATGGACATTTGGAGCTCATGTTGTCATTAATACTTTTTGAGCATCTGTTAGGGGCAAGAGATTTGGGGCATGGCAGGTTAAATGTGACAGGCCTCTCTCCTCAAGGATGTTGTACCTCCACTTGGTGGTATTTCTGAGATGGGAATTAGGAAATTTAGATTCCTGTTATCAACAAAGATAGATTCAAAGCCTGTTATTAAAGTGTCGTATGTGCCCTTTTCCTCAAGCCTCATCTGTTTCCTGTGATTTTCGGTGTCGCTCCTTCCATTCAATGCCTCATTTTATGCTCCTGTTCCCTGACCTTTCCTAAGCCAGCCTTTTTATCACCTCTCCTCCTCTATAGCAAACAAATACCCAAAGAAACACACATCGGGACTGCTTGCTCAGCCTTGGATCCATGTCTGTCTCAAGCTTAGAATGCCCCTTTCTTGAGAGCAAGGGTCAGTGTCTGAAATAACAACCTGAGTACTGTAGCAGGTATCCTGTTAGACCATCATCCAGGAGGGAAGCAGAAGCTGGAGTAGATTAGGAAGCTTTAGAAACTAGTGTGAACTAGGAAAAATGCTGCAGAGGATAAAGATGAAAGTACTTTTTCCCAGGGAGATTTTTCACAAAGTGGGACATTTTAAGCAGGTTTTAGTTTTACATTCATTTTTCTTACTTCCCCTGGTATGGATGATTTTTCTTTTCTTGTTTTTTTTTATTACCAATTGTAAAAATAAGTGTGCACTAAACCAATTGTTGGCATGAGTTTAAGGCAGACACTGGATCAATTGTTCTTTTAATGTAGATGTAAGGAACACTTGCTACATTCCTGAGCTGTGGCAAGATCTCTGGCCCTCCTCTAACACATGAATACAGAAACATCCCTGCCTCTGCGTATGTGCTGCCCAGTGGGCCTAGGAATCAGCTTTTGTAACTCCAGAGCCACCCTCACCACCTACTCGCCTGCATTTCAGACGTAGGTGGTTATACAGTTGTGAAAGTATAAAGATGGCTCTAAAGAAACTTCTGTTCTTTGAGTTTTACTGCCCCTGATCAGCTTTGGGTAAATGTCTGATGGTGATGTAGAGATACCAGGACTTAGCCATGGGAGAACTGTCTTGGCTGGGTTTAGTATCCTGCATCAGCACCCAGGTCTTTGCCTCTCTGCCTACTGAAGACAAAAGACCAAAAAAGAACATTTTTGAGCCAAGCATGATGGGTCACTTCTGTAATCCCAGCACTTGGGAGGCTGAGGCAAGAGGATAGAGAGTTCAAGGCCAGCCTGTTGCCCTGTCTCAAAAAACAACAACAAAAAAGCATTTTATTTGAAATTAACTCCCACCTAGATCAATAATACAAAAGAGCATGATCTTTGATTCCTGTTGGCATTCATTTCTAACAAACCAGCCACCATTGGACGAGTTCCTATGGGTGACCCCGGCCCACAGGACTCTTAAGAGAGAAGAAAGGGCTCAATCTAAAAATGTCAGTTTACTTTACCAGCAGAATACATTTGGATACAGAAGTTACAAAAGTCTAATTAGTCCATTATGAGAGTTTGCTGTTATCTCTCTGTATCCAGGGGGTCTCAAATACTGGTTTTGTTGTCATCCTGATTTTACATTTGACAGGAGAGCTCAGTTTGGTTTTTTGGGTTTTTTTCCCCAGTACTAGAGTTTGCATTCAGGGACTTGTGCTTGCTAGGCAGGTGCTCTACCACTTGAGCCACAGCCACTTCCCTTTTTTACTTCAGTTATTTTTTGAATGGGGCTTGTGCTTTTTGCCCAGAGCTAGCTTTAGACTTCAGTCTCCTACCTATGCTTCTTGCATAGCTGGGTTTACAAGCATGAACCACCATACCTGGCTTGTTTTTTGAGATGGGGGGGTGCTCACTAACTTTTTCCCTGGACTGTTGACCCTCCCCATTTCTGCTTCCCTAGTAGCTCAATTGACTTCTTCATTTTGCTTTTTTTACATATGAAATGGGATACGTGATCTCATTCCGTGAAATTCTAAGAAAAACTGACTTAGGTTACTAAATTTTGGAAGAGCCTGTACTGTCAGGTTATTTTAATATGTATCTTGAAATACATCAAAAAGCAAATCCTGAAAACAAAAGCTGAATTCAGTTTTGAAAGAGGGCACTTGGTTAGAGGGAGGAGGGTGAAGCCTATCTTAAAACCCTCTCTTAGAAGTGCCACATTGGCACTTGGAAGTGAGAATCAGGCACTGCATTCCTCGACTGCAGGTGTGAGATACCCATGAGGTTTTTCCTCTTACAGTTGGTAGTCATTGCTCTGTAGGGTTCTCAAAAGACCTGTTGCGAGTGGCCTTACACATTTGTGGGATCACATGTCACAAGACACCTTAATTAGCCTTGGTTAGACAGATGATACTTTCACATAAACTCTGAATTGTGATTAGTATGTGCACAAAACAACCGTCTTAATCTGGGACTCTGGAGGGACTGTCCCTACATTGTCTTTAGTTTGTAAATCTTTCAGATGAGTCCCAAATATCAAATGCAGGTATTGCGATGAAACCTAGGTGGGAAAAGTTCTAGTGAAAGGACACCATCACCAAAGGACCATGTTCTTTATGTGCATCCTGAGTGACACAGCTCAGAGTTGGGCAGTGAGTGGCTTAAAGAAAGGAAAAGTCGACCAGGATGTGGTGGTGCATGTCTATAATCTCAGCACTCAGGAGGCTGAGGCAGGAGAGTTGTGAATTCAAGCCCAGACTGGGCCACAAATTTGGAAGTATCACAAGTTTAACTAACTGTGAACAGTAGAGTTATGGTTTTTGTGGGAGGGGTTGTTTGTTTGTTTGTTTGTAGGGCTGGGGTTTGAATTCAGGGCTTCCTGCTTGCAGAACAGGTACTCTACCACTTGAACCACACCTCCAGTCCATTTTGCTCTGGTTATTTTGGACATGGAGTCTTGAGAACTATTTGCTGGGGCTGGCCTCAATCCTCCCAATCTCAGCCTCCCAAGTAGCTAAGATTACGGCTGTGCACCACCGGCACCCAGTTTCATCTTTTTTAAGTTGTAGGTATTAAGATTATCCAATTAAAAAACTCTTGGTCTGGAGATGTAGCTCGATGACAGAGTACATGCTTATGTATATGAAGCCCTGGATTCCATCCCCAGCACCCTCCCAATATACACAAAACTTATCAATAGCATTTACGTATTCTTTTTTTGCTGGTTGTATTCACAGCTAATTCAAAATCACTTCTTTTCATTTTTTTGTACAATTGCACAAAAAACCTGAATTTTCCTGACTGTGAAGGTTTATTTTTTCTTCATTTTATTTAAACTTCATGCTATGTCCTTAGCCCCGCTATAGCCTCTTTTTTGCTGCCCCTCGTCTGGAGTTTTCCACGCAGAATGAGTCATCCTTCAGCAGAAGCCCAGTAGCTTCAGCACAAAGACCTTTTAGAGACTGCTGCAGAAGGGGCATCCACATGGGGTGGGGCTAGATGGGTTATTACAGGAAGCCAGTCATGGCCTGCACAGATGAATCTACTCTTCCCAGTTGCTCAGACCACTGTTAGTTTTATATTCTTCTCTTCTCAGAAGCTTTGTCTTAAGAGCTGACCTGGTATTTGTGCTTCCTGCAAATGAAATTTCCCGACAATATTCCCTTTTTTTACTCAGTAAAACTGAGGTATTGATACCCCCACCCCCTCCCATACCCCACTACTATAGTAATTATACCTGGTGGCAAGGTGCCGCCTGCCTGTCCTGGACCCCTCTGCAGAGGCTGGGTCCACACTCAGGGCCTTCATTGCCACCTCTCTTCCTTGGACCTGTCAAGAGTATCTTTCAAGCCAAATGTGCTATTCCACATCTGTAATCTCAGCACTAGAAGGCTGAAGCATGAAGTTTGAGATTTTGAAGCCAGCTCAGGCAAAAGTAGTGTTGAGACCCTGTCTCAAAAACAAAAGGGTTGAGACATAGCTCAAGTGGCAAGAGTGTAAACACAAGGCCCTGGGTTCAATCCCCAGTACTACAATAAATAAATAAAAAGGAGACTCTTTCATTTTGCAAAGTGGTTTCTTTTCACTTGGTTTGATAATAATTTTGCTCAGAAACTCTCCCCGTAAGATTAAGACAACAAACTAGACTAGTCCCCTGGCCTTTTTCAGGGACTATGAGGAATGCTTGGTACTGTTAATCTAGTAATGATTAACTGAGGTGTAATTGAAATACAGATTAAAAGAAAGCCAGCTTTTCCCTCATTTAGAAGTTTAGTACTGACAGGTATCATCCTATTCTTTTGCAAACAGGACTAACTACACCATTTGTGAAGCCGTGTGTTCAAAATTTGCTAAAAATTTCCAGATCACAATAGCAGAGTGTTAACTAAACATGGGCGCTCCCTCACATGAGGCCCTATGTGATGGCCCAGATCACATGGGTGTTGAAAGCAACCCTGACCAGAATTCATAGCCCTTCATGGATGACATTAGCTGGTCAGTGGAGTGTTCTTGCCTGTTCTCAGGGCTTGACGTGCCAAGAGAGAAGACACTCTGAAGGAATGGGAACCCAAGGTCTGGGATGGGGCAACCCCCACTCTGGCCCTGCCACTGGCCAGCTTATTGGCTGTGGAGGCATCTCTAGCTTCTTCGGGTCCTTGAAGTCGCCTTCCTGCCAGCACATCCACGATGCCTACTCTTTGTCTTTTCCGTGCATAGAAATTCATTGAGTTTGAAGATGCCTTGGAACAAGAGAAGAAAGAGCTTCAAATGCAGGTGGAACACTATGAGTTTCTGACTCGCCAGCTGGAACTGAAGGCCAAAAACTATGCAGATCAGAGTAAGTGGTTGGTGGGAGATGAGGCGGATTGAATGTGTGTGTTGTTCTAGTGATCCAGCTGGGAAGAATAACAGAGCCTTTGCGCAGACAGCCAATGATGGCCTTATTTTCTTTTTACTGTGATTCTTTCAACCACTTATTTTATCTTTTCACATTACTGTGTGTTTCTGTAATCAGCGTCAGGTCTTTTGTGGAAATCAGAAACTCAAGTAAGGCCCCTTTGACCACATAGCATGTTCACTTAGTAGTGTAACCTGACCCTAAAATGACAAACCTGTGGTCCTCCTGGGATCCTGTTGAACAAAGCACCTATTGCCATGGGTTCACGTCTCCCCACCCAGGTAAGGAGTGCTGGTCACTGTGGAGCTGACAATTGGTCCACTGATGGAACCACTTCTGTAGTGACAGATCTTAGGAGGGAGTCATGACTGATTAAGGGTATCTGTGGGAAAATCCTGTCCCCATGGGTCAGACAAAGAAAGGGTGGTGGTTTTTTTTTTTTAATTACTAATTTAAGAACATTTATTTTAGTGTCCATAGCTATACTTTAAACTGTAGTGTCAATGTTAGAGTTACCTGTTTAATCTTAGTTTTCTGTAATTAGATGACTGAACCTATTTGCTGCTTTACTGGTTACCTTGGATGGCAGCAGCCTTCACTTCTCTGAAAAGTTAAAATCCAAAATTGAGGAAAAAACTGATTTGATAGGTAGAGCCTGTTACTATCCCAGGGCAAAACTTAGAGGTCACTGTGCTAGGCTAATGGCCTAGTGACAAGTCAGAGTCAGTAGGTGACCAGAGGGCCAGCAGCTCCCATATGGCTGGTATTTACAAATGAGCAGTAACCTAAAGGTTTGTTTTAATACATAGATAAACCCTCTTTGTAATTATACAGATACTGTCTGTAAAACTCCTTTTGCTACAGTACATTTCATATGTGAAAACTTTTCAGTTTCTTTCTTGGAGGAAAAAAATACCAACTCAGATTACAGGCTGAAGTCATTCATGGGGTCAGCACCAGGCTTGAGGACCAGATGGGAAGCTCCCCGAGCCAGGTGGTACCTGCACAGCTACCCCAGCAGAAGGCCAAGGGGGCTCCTGAGGCTCCACTGCCACAGTCCTCTCTAGAGACACATGCACAGACAGTCCACCCCTCCAAGGGACAGAGCAGGGGCCGGGCTCAGAAGATGCCTGACATGTAGTTCTCCTCCCTCTTTTGTGGGTTGTGCATCAGTATGTACATGTCACATGTGATGTGCATCAGCACCTATGAGTTAGGTGTCTCTTGGGTGGTGATGTCTATAAGTCACATGCCTTATAGTCATGTGTGCATTGAGTGCTAGTGTCTGTAAGCCATGTGTGTGTGCTGGTGACTCTTAAGTCATGAGTGTTGGGTGCTGGTGTCTGTAAGTCAGAAGCATTGGGCGCTAGTCTAAGTTACGTGTGATGGGTGCGATGTAAGTCACACGTGCCAGGTATTGGTGACTATAAGTCACAGTGTTGGGTGTTAGAGTCTGTAAGTCACATGTGTTCTGTGCTATCTCTGTAAGTCTTGTGTGTACTGGGTACCAGTGTCTTTAAGTGTTTTGTGCTCCTGGAGGGAAAATGGAGCTGAAACTGCCTTGAGCTGATGCTTGTGCTATGCCTCAGAGAGGGGTGCCCACACCACCACAGATGCATACACTGGGACTGTGCAGAGCAATCTCTACAGACTCTGCCAAGCAGGTCACACCCAGGCCACAGAATTTGAACATATACTGCCGTGAGCTGTGGAATCATGTAATTTGCTAAATCAATTTTGGGCATACACCAGGAGGCAGGAGACTCCCACTGAGGACAGGTGAGAACCAGTGCCAGGGCATGCCAGTTTCATGTGTCCTGTCTCTGCCTTGTCTTGTCAGCTTTCCAACAGAGCATTGAACAGAGAGCTGCAGAGAAAGTTGTCCAAGCCCAGAGGAGTGTTGGCTCCATCTGTGGGACAGGGTCAAGCCACCTAGCCGATGTTGCCAGTTAGCCTGTTGGTCAGTCCTGCTGTTTGGGCAGGCACATGTGGGACTAGAAGGGACCACTCTGCAGCCACCAATTTAGGGAGGGGACATGGTCATGAATTGGTCTTTCCAGCCCTCGATGTGTAAGGGACATTGCTGTTTGTTCATCCCACACTTCTGACATTCTGTCATTCTTTAATGTGTCTCAGAGGTTCCTCACGTCAATTCTCTGTCTCCATCAGCTTTTCACTCACTTTTTCTTTTTTTTGAGATGTTGGGGATTGAGTCCAGGGCCTGGTTCCTGCTAGGAAAGTGATCTGCTACTAAACTACACCCCACCCCGCCCTCATCCACTTCTTACTACACGTGGCACATGCTGTGAGTTTCACCTAAGTTTTGGAAACTCCTGTCTCTCTTGAGCAGAGATCACTTTGTGAGTTTTGCCCATCCTGATTTTCTTCCCAGCAGAATGGAGCATTCTCACATGTGTGCCACCCAGACTGGCCAGTTACAGTCTAGCCAGTATACACTAGGTTTCAGAGTCTTGTTGCAGTCCATGAGAGAAGTACTGAACTATGCGGGGTAGACTGTGTAGCTGACCCACAGTCTTGTGTTTTGCAGTCTCCCGGTTAGAAGAGCGGGAGTCAGAGATGAAGAAGGAGTACAACGCTCTGCACCAGCGGCACACAGAGGTAGGTGCCAGTTGTGCCCCACCTGGGGTACAAGTAGGTGTAAGCTGCCACAACCTGACACCTACAATTTGCTGGTGATGTCTGGTTGCCCTTTCTAGTGCCTTCTTTGGTGATTAGCTTCCATTTCCCTAAACTGGGCTATTTCCATCTGAGCAGTGTGTCTGAATAATGGCAGTGGGGCTCAGTAGGCAGTACTAATGACAGGCCTCTCTTTGGCAGATGATTCAAACCTACGTGGAGCACATCGAGAGGTCCAAGATGCAGCAGGTGGGGGGCAGCAGCCAGCCAGAGAGCAGCCTGCCAGGGCGGAGGTAGGTGGGCTGAGAGAGCAGGTTTCTAGTGGATGGAGGGAGAAGCAGTCCTAGGTCTCTTTCTGAGGCCCAGGAAAATTTATACAGTCAATCCTCACTATTCAAGGATTCCATGTTTGCAAATTTTCCTTCTCTCTAAAATATATTTGAAACCTCAAAATCAGTATTCATGGTACTTTCGCAGTCACTTGCAAACATAGGAAGGATTTGCAACAACATGCAGGCTTTTCACCAAGGTGGAACCAGGCAGTACTCTATCCTTGTGTCAGAGCCTCAAACAGTGATACCAGAGGAAGGGGCCAGGTGGGGAAGATTGTGTCCTATAAGAAGCACGTGAAGGAGTCAGCATGATGGGGTGGCTTTGAAGACCATCTCTGGCACTTGTTAGTGGCCTCATATAGTGACCCAACTCTTCTCATCTCATTTTCTCATTTATAAAATAAAGAAGATAGAGTCCATCAGGTTGAGTTTTATGAAATCTAAGAATAGGGTCTATGTGAAATATATACATGTTTTTCCTCAGACAGGTGGCTTAGTGTTCACTACTCCACATTTGAAGAGACTAGAACATACCACCACTAGCTGCCCAAATGGGAGAAGAATGCTCAGGCCACCTTGCCCAGCCCCGCATTGAGCCTCATTCCTTCTGTGGGGCAGGATGATGCCAGCAGATCCCCAGGTCTCTGCATGGTCCAAGTTCAGAATTCAATATTGGTTTTGCTCAGGCAGCAAAGCCAGTCTTCTCCCCATTCTCTTTGCCTTTTGAGACAGGACAAAGTTGGACCACAAGCCCCAGGGAACAGAGTGTCAAAGGTCATGTCCAGGGCGTTGCCAGCTCAAGGGGGTAGGTGGGTGACCAGAGACAGAGACCTAGACTTGGAAGTTCTAAGTCTCCATCAGATGAAGGGAAGGGCCTGAAACCAGAACTACTGCTGGAGCCAGGCAGCAGTCCATCCCCCTGGTTTCTGTGGCTAGACTTTCCAAAGCCAAAGCTAGGCTAGAGGAAGCCTCTGGTCACACCACATAAAGGCCCCTTGGAAACGCTTTCCTCTGTGCCTGACTATTCTGTGGGTGCTATCTTCAAACAAGAAGATTCGGGATGTGCAGCTCTGGGCTTTGTCATTGGCCCTTTTCTGGGTGACTGCACAAAGCTGACTGCTTCTACATGCCCATCTTTGACCTGAAAACAAAAATGCATGTGCACGAGTGAAGGCCTCACAGGGCTGAGGACACTGTAAGGGATTAGCAGCATAAGACACTGTGTTGCTGTCTTCCGTGGGGAGAGGGCTCTGCATTATTCATGATCCCTGGACAGCACAGGCTGTGTCAACAGGTCTCCAGTACCAATAAAAAGGTGATGGGGGTGAAAGTTTGGCAAACTGTAATCCTTGTAGTTTATTACATCTGAGAGGTAGAAATACTGAATTTCCCAGTTGGTGACTTAGGAAACGTCCCTTTTAGCACACTGTGAAATCCTGACTTCTTGCCTTCAGGATGACCAAGAGGATTTCTAAGTAACTGAGCTTGAATTCCAGCTGGAATCAAGGTGTTCATGTTGCTTTTGTACAGAGCTGAACAGAGTTGTCTGAGCTGGGGCAGAGGTTGGAAGTTTTCACCATTTTCCCATGAGAGCTGTAGCATTCCACAACCTTTTGTCTGTCTCCTGCCAGCAAGTCCCAGAGACTGTACTATAGAGAGCACAGGGAGAGCAGCTCAGTGTATTGTGGAGCCTAGGTAGTGTGACCTCAAAACCCATGTTTGCAGGCCACAAGAACCCAGGCTTCTATGTCCCAGTGGACAGCAGCACCCTTAGCACTATGGATTCTATATAAATGGATGCCCCAGGACCCTGTGTGCTCAGCCAGAACACAGCCTGAGCTGGGTTTGAAGCCACCTAGACTCCAAAGCCCTGAAGGTTCTGGTGGTCACTGTGGGCTGACTGGGACCATCTATTCCTCCTATAGGGAGAAGCGTGCCATGGCCTCAGGGCGGGGCATGCTTTGCCATGAATGTCTGCTCATTGAGGGGAAGGAAGCCCCATCCCAGGACCTACTGCCCCAAGTAGTCTTCCCTGAGCGTGGTGTCTACCCCTCAATTTCTCCCTAGTGTTCAGAGTTTGACTCCATCTCCACACAGGCAGGCTGTGGAGATCTCACTTCTCTCAAGGAACCCATGGCCCCAAGACTGGTGCTGCCTCCTTGTTTTGACTCCTGTACACAGCTGGGCCCCATCCTGGGTCTCCTTTGTGGCTCTACAGCAGCTCTACCTCTTCTCTCAGGGAACCAGCACATGCCCATTATAAGAAACCCCTTGACCTGTTTTGTAAGGGTCATCTGTGAGTCTCCTCTGTAGTACCATGACCAGGTCCTGTGGCCATGTCCTCTGGGCAGTGCAGGGCCTTTGGTACTCAACAATGAGACTGATGCCCAGAGTGAGTGGTTACCTGAGAGGAGTCTTCTCCGTGCCCAATGGAAGCCCCAGGAGCTCCTTCATTTAACAAGTAGGACTCTCCAGCCTCTCCAGGAGACATGCTGACAGCAAAGCTTTGATTGCCACAACCTGCCAGCAGTGATTCCCAGTGGCTAAAGTGAGAGTGGCCATGTTGTCTCCAGACCTTGTAAACTCCTAGCCTCCTCACACTAGTCTCCGGCAGCTGGGGAAAGCACCGTGGCTGCTTTCCTACATGAGCCTTGACTGTAAAGGGGCACATGCTTCCAGGGTTGAGGGGATAGGAAGAGGAAGGGGCAGAACCCCAGGCCTGGGCTGACCCCATCACCCCACCCAGCCAGCCAGTGTCATTGAACTTCCTCACCAGCCCACAGACTTGGCTTCCTCTGCTATTGCTGCAGCAATCTGAAGGAGTTTCCTCTGGTCTTGTGCCTTCCCTACCATATTTCCTGAGGCCCATGCCCCAGCTGGCTGGGAACAAGCCCTGGACCTTTGTCCTTTAGGGCAGATGACTTAAGTCTGTCCCCCTCTGAGCTCAGACTTCTGGCTCTCCATGAGGCCCTCACCACTCCTGAGTCTGAGCTGCTGACCACTCAGGACCCACATGGCCTTTTCTTGCACTCCTAGTATGGTTTGCAGAGTCTGAAGGTTCTAGGATGAACTCATTGGGAGCTCAAATAATTGCTCTGCTTGGACCATTGCAGATGTTGGCAGTAGTGGGAGCCCATGTGTGCCTTTGTGTGCTCCATACCATGTTCATCTGTGTGTTTGTGTGTGTCCCCATGCTCAAATGCACATGTGTGCTTCTGTGATAGTACTCGTGCCCCCTGTATTTGCTGCCCTACTACATAGTCCCTGTCTGAGGGTCTCTTGTCAAAGCCAAGAGGATTTGTGCGTCACATGTCTGTTCTTGCAAATATCTGTGTAACCGTTGTCATTTGTATAGAGAAAAGCACAAGATGGGCACCTGAATATCTCACTGTCACCATCCATGTGCTTTCCCTGTAAGTGTGCACAAAGGGGAGCTGGCTTTCCCTTCACTCTCTAATGTGGTCTTCTTGTCCTGCCCTCTGTGCTGTCACTGCTGTGTGCTGGCCGTTGTGTCTGTCGCTGCCTGCAGTCCTCGCCAGTCATGGAGGAAAAGGTAAAGCCTGTGGGGTCTTTGTCCGCTGAGGTGCTGGGGTCATCCCAGGGCTTGGGGAAATCTGAGGGGAAAGTTAAGATAAGCCAGCTGCTTTAATTGCAAGGACATGATTCTTTGATTTCATTAACACCAAGATATTTTCTGCAGCTTGTGCTGTACATCGGTAATTCTTCCCAGATGTGTTCACAAGACTGCTTAGGGGGTGGCAGATGGGTGAGAAGGTCACCAATAAGCTATAGAGTAGGATGTAAAAACAGAAGTTCCTGATCTATCCAGGTCCCACTCTAGTTCTGCTCTGCGCTCAGCAGACATTCGCCTTTGTCACAGACGAAATCATAGTGTTGACCCTTTCTTAGAGCAACATGCAGCTTACGTACCAACTGGCACTGATTCCAGAGGCAGTGGGCAGGTGGAGACAGCTTGACTCCTTTAGCTTCAGGTAGTTCTAGACTCATAGCCAGAATGGTCACTTACTATCTTTGCATCCAAAGTGGGTGGCCCTAGTGACCCCTGTGGGTGGTGGTCTCTGTAGACAACAGACATGTGTGTCTCTGTCAGAGCTATGGCGATGTGAAACCTGACCTTTGTTTTTTGTTGTTAATAGGATTTTTTTTGGAGGGGGGACAGAACTGGGGTTTGAACTCAGGGTCTCACGCTTGTTAAGCAGGCCCTCTACCACTTGAGCCTCTTCACCAGCTCAAGGCTTACCTTTGGATGTGCCCCATCAGTCAGCAGCATCTCTGAATGCTCATGAGGCTGGGAGACCAGGCCCATATGTGGTTCTGTAGGGAGTAGCAAGGCAGAGACAACGTTCCTGGTTACAAATAGATTTCCTGGACAAGCACAGGCCATGTCTTCCATCTTTGAGCTGTAGAATTTGGTGGTCTGTAATGTGTTCATTACCCTATCCTGAAGCAAGAGCTGCTCCCCCACTATCATCCTTATAGCATCTGGTGACAGCTAGGATGGCATTGTCTCAGGGCCAAGAGACACATTTTATGTGCTTCTCAACTAGGGTCATGAATAGAAGGGCTGGGTTCTAGTATATTCCCCATATTTGAATTGGTAGCCCAAGGGCGTGGTCAAGGGAGCTGGGAACCTGCTGGACAGGCAATAGTACTAAGAAACCCCAGCCCCAGCCCCAGGCTGTGATGTCTTTGTAGTGCTCCCAAGACCTCATAGGCTGTTATCAGAGCTGTCAGTGGGGCTGAGCTAGGGAACTTGTGGTGCAGAGAGTCAGAGATTTCCAACTATGATACCTGTCTCCGGACATGAGTTTCTATCGGCCCAGGCATGTCCTCTGTAAAGGGTCATGAGAGCTGGCCACAGGAGAGTGCCTTCTGGAGCAGTCTCAGCACTGAACATGACTCCTCTGCCCCATCCCTAAACCCCTCTGGTTCTGTTCCTGCCATGGACTAGCCACCAAGATGGCAGAGCAAGGTCCCAGCAGATACTAGAGACACTGCTGCAGAAAACAATGCTATGTTGAGCAGGACAAGCCAGCTAGCCAGTTTCCAGAACTGCCCCCAGCCATGTAACCCCATTCCCAGAATCATGTCACAAAGCTGCCCACCCAACTATAGGAAGTGCTCCTCAGTGTACCACTGCTCTCTTCCCCCTCCACTTTGTCCTCTGCATCCTGCAAGCACTGGCAAGAGGACCTATGTCTCTGCCTTTAGAGGATGCTATCTAGCCTCTGGACTGGGCTCCTTGGGGCCCTGGGAATGCCCTCACTTGTCTCTGGGGACTGAGCAGTGAGCATCAGAGGCTGTGGTGTGAGCAGTTCTGTTGTGGCCTCAACAGTTCTAAGCAGTGTGAATTCAGTCTGCCCCTGGAGGATAGTGCTGCCCAGGCCTCTGTTGCAGTGGCTTAGCTTACCTGATTGGAAGCCTCCAACAGAAGTGTGTGGAGTGAGGATGTAGGCCTCTGTCTGCACTGCCATTCACATCCATGGAAAGTCTTCCTGGGACCGAGATTGCACAAGTGAATTGAGCTTTGTTCTTTGACTCAGTCTACCAGATGCTCCCACTCTGTTACCAGAGCCTCCAAGGGTCCTGCCTTTTGTGAATGATAGATAGCTAGGGATGGCTACATGGGGAGAGAGATGCCTTCACTCACAGGCCTCAGCAGACAGGGTGATGCTCTTTGCTCTGGATGCTTCCTATTCCAATGTTTCGCAATGAGAGGTCCCTTGAAGTTCCAGAGGACCAGAGAGGAAGAAAAGAGTGGGCCAGGTGGGGAAATTGAGTCCTCTGCTGGCCCAGGATGTGCATGCAGGGCTGGTGGCCATTGTTACAAGGAAGCAAGTCTGAGCTTTGTCTTCACAAAAGTTACCACTCAATGTGACACATTCGTGCTGTCCCTGGCACCAAAAGACCCACCACTGGTACTGCTGTGGAATTGCTAGTGCTGACACACTGTTTAAAGTTTAACTAAATGAAAATGATAAATCACAGCATGATGGAGGGGAAAAGTTACACAGGATCATGATCAAGTAGAGACTGCCCTGAACCTGTGACTACCACCGCCCAGCAGCCATGTCTTCCAAAGCAAGACACCATTTTAAGCATTAGCGTCCACCAGGTAGCATCCATGTGCTAAGAAATGGATTTTGGTTTCTCTCTCTTGTTCCCTCTCTCTCTTTTTTTTTTTTTTTTTTTTGATGGGATGGGGGATTGAACTCAGGACTTCACACTTTCAAAGCAGGCACTCTACCACTTGAGCCACGTCTTCAGTCCATTTTGCTCTGGTTAATTTTGATATGGGGGGCTCACAAACTATGTGGGCTGGCCTTGAACGGTGGCTCTCAAGTAGCTAGAATGATTGGTGTGAGCCACCAGCACCCAGCTTCTGGTTCTGTTTCATAGCTGCTATCTAACCATCTGCTTCTTCTTCCTCTCTTCCTCCCACTCCAGCAGGAAGGAGCGCCCCACCTCTCTGAACGTCTTCCCCCTGGCCGACGGCATGGTACGTGCACAGATGGGGGGCAAGCTCGTGCCTGCGGGGGACCACTGGCACCTGAGTGACCTCGGCCAGCTGCAGTCCAGCTCCAGCTATCAGGTTTTGTAGCCGTGCGTGGAGTGACGGTCCCCCACTGCTGGCATCCCACATCCACTCAAGGGAGCCTGGTTCCCAGGGTTGCACACAACCCTGTGCATATCTCCCTGAGTTAGTCCACCCTCCTCTGATGTGGAACAGGGTCAGAGAAACCAAGCCAGGATGTCAGGAGGCATGGACTCAGAGAAGACCCTTTGGTACGACAGTTGCTCTGTGTGGCTTGCACTGGCATCTACTCGTCCAGGCTGAACCTCTCCACTCCTCAGATAGACTGTTCTACACTCGAGGATACTGTATTACTGGGGCTGAGCTTAGCAGCTCAGAATATATGCCTTTTCTCAGACCAAACTCCAGTCAGGATGCTTGGGAGACTGCCTTTGCTTCTATAAGCATTCAGTCTTTAGGGTCTGAGGCTTGATTTCTGGTGGGAGGAGGCAAAGGCATGGAGATGGCTCCCTCCCTGGGCCTTCTCTATTGTCCCTGTTAATACCTCCCCCCAGGTATGCACATAGAAGGCCAGGTCACTCATTTAGGGTCCTGGGTCCCTTGCCGCAGTTAGCATCTGTGTACTCAGACTGTATGGAAGGTAGTTGTAGCAGACAGGACTCTGGCCACATTGTCAGTGAAAGTTGACTGTCTTCTTGGACAGAAAAGGTGACCTTGGGACCATAGAGATCATCAGAGAACACTTAAAGCAGCCAAGTCCTGAGCTCTGGGTTTAGTAGGGCCAGTGGATGTGGGGTACGGGACTTCTGACATGTCCTTCCTGCTGGTGTTCCTAGCTGACTGTCCTTCTGCCTATGCCCAGCTTGCCTGCAGGGCTGTTGTGTGCTGCCAGCCCTGTCAGAAAGTGACCCCACTGCTTCCACTTTTGTTCCTGGGAGTGACTTGTCTCTAAGACATGGAGATGTTCACACCTTGTTCTCACTGTTCTGCCAGTGTTTCTTCTCTGAGAAGAAGGCAGCTAGGCCTATGGGGACCTGGCTGCCTTGTGGATATCTAGATGTGGCCCTTCCATTTGTGCCAGCTGTTCACATGCACTCGCACTTGCTTACGCCAGGCCTGTGGCAAGGCTGCGCCATAAACATTTGCAGAAACCACAGTTGCCTCAGGAAGTCATAGGGAGCCGTCACCTGACCCCCTGGCCCCAAGTGTCTGCTCATGCCATGTCTGGACCAGCTTTTCTTCTCACAGTGTCTTTTCTTTCTCTACTATATGTCTGATAGTCTTTCCATAATTCATACTGTTCCATGTTTCAGTTCAGTGTATTTTGTTCAATTTTTCTTATTTTTAAAAAATAATTACATTTAAGTTCTTCTTATTTCATGCTCTAGGTTTTAAGGTTTTTCTAATTTCTTAATTTTTTGTTTTGTTTTTTGTTTTGTTTTTTGTTTTTATGTACTATAGTGTTTTAACCAAACAGTTGTGGCTACTCATGGTGAGGAAAGACCGCTAAGAGTGTGGGTTCTTTGCAATACATTTGGAGGTCACTGCTCCCCGTTGATGTTTAGGAGGTTGAGAGGTTTGCCTTAGGTAAGTGGTGGCCAGGGGGTCATGTCCCCTGGGTAAGTGGTGGTCCTATAGGGTAATAGAGCCTGGGCACTGGGGGCAGTGCGGCCAGAGAGCAGAATGCCCCATCGTGACCACAGGAGTAACCCCAGGCAGGGGCCTGTGGCCATGAAGGAAGGTAGTCTGGAAATATGTCTGGTTCCCACCCCTGGCTTCTGCCTGGCCTGTGTGGAATCCCTGGTTTACCCTTGCTGAGTGGCAGCAGAGGCCCACATCTGGCGGGCATCTGAGTGCATCTGATGTAGGTAGAGCAAGTGCCTGTTCTTTGAGTTTCATCCAAAAGACCCAGTATGAGCCACACTCACCTCCTTCAGCACTGGTGACAATATGAAGAGGAAAAGTTTCTCCATTCTCACCTTGGGCAGAAGCTGTATGCTTGAATCTAATTAAAATCTAAAATGTTCATACAAAGCCACTTCCAAGCAAGCGGGACTGTGTACTGGCAGAAGGTTTCTCACCTTGGCACTGCTGACCTTCAGGCTGCACCGTGTGTGACTGTGGGGCCATCACTATAGGATGTTGAGCAACATCCCTGGCCTCCACCCACTCTGTGCCAGGAGCACCCTCTCTAGTTACACAACAAAACCATCCCCTGATAGGGCACAGTTGCCTCCAGTTGAGAGCTGCTGCTAAAGAGGAAGATGTGGAACTTTGAGATTCTTTGTGTAGAAAACCAGGAGCCTGATGGATGAAGTCAGAAATTTGTCCTTAGAAGAAGTCCTTAGAAGGGCCCCTGCCTGAGCTTGTAGTGACCCAGTGGGTCAGGCCAAGGCAAGTTGCAGAACTGGCTCGGGTTCTAGGACCCAGGTGTGCATTTCTCAGTTCAACTCACCAAGCTCTAGACAGGGCCACCCACCTCCCTCTCCATTCCTTCCAGGATGAGTGTCCTCACCAGCAGAACATGCCTCTGAAAGCCTTCCCACCTCTGAAGGCCTGCCCTCTGGAAGACCACAGAACAGCTGCCTACCTGGGACTTGCACAGGGAGCCACTTTGGTCCCCCAAACTGTTTCTCTCCTGCACCACAAGGGAGGGAAGGGAGCAAGGAGATGTAAAGGCCATCTGCTGCCTGAGATGACTGGGGCATCTGCTCAGGATCATAGGCAGTTGTCAGTTCACGTTAATAAGAGTGCTCAAGGGCTGTTTTTATTGGAATTGTCCAATATTTTTATAAGGAGAGACCATAGGAAAAAAATGTTTGTTTCATGTCCCATGCCTTTCATATAGAATGCCTTCCTTCCTAACAAGATTCTTCAGGTAAGCAACTGATTGCAGTTTGTAAACCTGTGAGCATTTTCCCCAGAACATCTCACATTGTCTCAGTCTGTCAAAATGGAATTTTGGGCCATTTGAATTTGCATTGATGTTCAGAGATAAACATTGGTGCAGCTGAGCTACACAGGGAAGCCCCATAGACAGATGAAATGCTGAAGCTCCATCCTGTCCCTGACTTCAGGCAGGACTGAGCAGCGTTAACGAGAGGTGGTGGAGGGAGGAGTTGCGGGACCAGCCCTGCACGCAACACAGCCCAGCCATCCCATGTCATGCACCTCCTTCATGGTCGCCAGGTAGAAAGAACCCTTGGCCCCACACTAGGCTACAACTGGTTTCTGACCAACCAGTGACCCTGCAAAGGATCACCCACCATGTTCTCCACCATGTCCTCTGTGTAGCCTCATGTCCATCATTCATGATTTCACTGGACTGTCCTGTGGAAGGTGGCAGCTGTTTCTGAGAAACCAGAGGACAGGGCCAAGAGAAGTAGCTCACCAGGGGTCAAAGGGAACTCATGCCCCTGCAGACAAGACTCAGTGTTGTTTGATTGCAGCAAAGTGACAGAAGCGGAACCATGGGGCCCAGTGGCCGCCCCTGGAACTGCAGTGCCATGGCCTGCAGTGACATGCTTCTTCCTCCCTATGTTTGGCCCTAGTGTCCCAACGATGAGATGTCTGAGTCTGGCCAGTCTTCTGCAGCTGCCACACCCAGTACCACAGGCACCAAGTCTAACACACCTACATCCTCCGTGCCCTCAGCGGCAGTCACACCACTCAACGAGAGTCTGCAGCCCTTAGGGGACTGTGGCAGTGGCACAAAGAACAACAAGCGGGCCCGGGAGAAGCGTGACAGTCGCAACATGGAGGTCCAGGTCACCCAGGAGATGCGGAACGTCAGCATAGGTAATGCGGCCAGGCCCCATTGCCACCTGCCAGCCAAGCCTAGAGGGAAGGCCAGGCTCCCACCACCTACCATCCACTCTTCCGCTCATGCTGAGGAGGGTTCCCTTCCTCACTGGATTTTAGTTGTGGCAGGTATCATCAGCCCAGCCTTCCATAACATCTACCATAGATGGGGCAGCTTACACAGCAGAAATTTATCCTCTCATCAGTACTGGAGGCAAAAAGTCCAGGATCAGTGTGTAGGCAGGATTGGTTTCTCTAGAGGTCTCCCTCCTGGGCTTGTAGATGACTACCTTCTCCTCACATGGTCACTTGTGTGTGTCTGTGTTATACTCTTTTCTTAATGAGGACCCCAGGCAGGTTGGATTAGCATCCACCTCAGTGACCTCATTTTACCTTAGTCACTTCATTAAAAACCTAGTCTACAAATACAGTCACACTGAGGAGGGGATCTCACCTGGTTAACTAGAGAGTAGAGGAACGTAGGAATGTTTGGCCTGTTCAAATGTGATCACAAAGGAGACATGGGTAATGGCTTGCTGAGACCTGGGATCCCAGGGGGCCAGGGCCACTGGTGAGTGGCTCTGTGCTCAGTGCTGGGGGTCACCATCTGCCTGGCCAGCATGACAGTCATGCCTGGTGGGAGCTAGCACTGGGTCTCTAGATGTAGGTCCAGAGGGGCTCTGTGAACAGGGTAGGGTTGCCAGGCTGACCTCTTACTCCAGGTTCCCTGTACCCTTCACTAGGCATGGGCAGCAGTGACGAGTGGTCTGACGTTCAGGACATTATCGACTCCACCCCAGAACTGGACATGTGTCCGGAGACCCGCCTGGACCGCACAGGAAGCAGGTGCTCACTCAGGCCCGGGCTGGGGGCTCTGTGGTCCACTGAATCAGTGCTTTTTATGGGATGTTGTTTCCCACCCATGCCTCTACCCACAGTGCAGGCATAGCATCAAACAGCCATGCTAGTAGCTTTCTATCACTATGAGTCAAATTAAAAATAGGAAAGGTTTATTTTGGCTCATAGTTTGATAGGTTTCAAACCATGGTTGGTTGTACATCATGGCAGAGAACCAGTGACAGAGGAGGTTACATACCTCATGGAGGCAGAGAAACAGAGGAAAGGGCTGGGATCCCACTACTCCCTTCAAGGGCACAAACTCAGAGACCTTGGGACTAAGCCTTTAGCAGTGGCCTCTGGGGGGCATTTCACAGTTTTGGAGGGTGGGAAGGCCTGCCAGTGCAGCAAGTGGATGCTGCCCCTGACTGTGCTTTTCCACCTGTGTCTCAACAGCCCAACCCAGGGGATTGTGAACAAAGCTTTTGGTATCAACACTGATTCCCTGTACCATGAGCTGTCCACGGCTGGGTCCGAGTCATCGGAGATGTGGATGAAGGGGCTGACCTGTTAGGTAAACACAAGCACTACACACACACACACACACACCCCTCTGTGACACTGGGGAGGGGTCTCTACTGGTTGTTTTGTTTGTGGTGAAGTGAAATTTATGTCCCCATGGGATAGGACTTTTTTTAAAAAAAACTGTTTTATTAAGGTATATTCCTCATTCCCTTAAAGTCTTCAGTTCATGGTTTTTAGTGCACTCAGAAGGTCCTGACCGCAACCATCAGCACTAAGTTACGAATATGTCCTCACCCAAAAAGGAACCCTGCATCCTCAGCATTCACCCCATCCTGCTCCAAAGCCCTCCCACTAGTCTGCTTTCTAGGGAGGTCTTGGCAGGGTGACCATTTTCCAGCACCTCTTCTCCAAGGATAGTGCACAGAGCCCTTGCAGCACTCATGTGGAACTCAGATCCCGAGCCCCCTTCTCCTGATAGCACATGGAGTCCCCTATGTTCCCAGGATATCTCTGCACAGCCACTCTAGGCACAAGGGCCTGCGCCCTAGAGCATGGTGGGTAGGAAATGCAGTCAGCTTTGCCCCTGGAGCCTTCTGCCTTGCTCCCACAGACCTGCTGTGGGAGGCACTCTCAGTCTCCAGGTGTAGCTCGAGTTCAGTGCCTCCTGCTCTTAGCAGCCCAGTCCTAGGTAGGCTTTAGGGCTGGCGGCATCTGCTTGCTGGGCTGGGGAGAAGTTTCTCCCAGGGACCTCACTTTGCAGCCAGTTTCATTCAGGCAGATCATTCACAGAATGCTGCTTCTTCCTTTCACTGCTGCACAGGGAATAGCAGCTCTGATCAGGGCAGCCGCCTCACATATGCAGGCAAGTCTAGGGCAGTAGAACCTTCAACATCACTGCCAGTATCGTGGCATCTCTTTCCCAAGCAAAGCCATCCCACATCTTAAGAGTTTTTAATTGCCAGTCTCTCTACCCTATCATTTCCCACTGATGGATACCAAGGACCTTATGCCTCTGGGGGCTTAAGGGTATTCCAACTCAGATACCTCTGAGTCTGAGTGAGGCAGAGGAGGGTCAGCTTGGCCTTTTTGGTGTGATGTGTGCTTGTCTGTTAGCCCTCAGGCATGCCTTTTGGTGTATTCACAAGTGAACTGATACCCTGGGGCAATGGCACCTTTGGGAGCAAAATTACCTTGATGTTCAGCACCAGAGCCGCCTTGCACTTAAAGTAGAAGTTTGCTTTACCAGGCTGAAAGCAAAAGTATCCTAACAATGTTTCTTTTTTTTTTAATAGCGAAAGCTGTAGTAAAGCTTATTAGGAAAGGCGTACACTTGCAGTAGTCTGAAAGCTGTTATCTCTGGAACGAGATTGAGAGCAACCTCGATAATGTTTCTTTCTTCCTCTTTTTTTTTGGTGGGACTGAGGTTTGAACTCAGGGCCTCACACTTGCTAGGCAGGTGCTCTACCACTTGAGCCATTCAGCCAGCCTATAGACACCTTCTTAAGTGTTGGGTTTGGTAGTACATTCATACTGTTTATTAACAGACAGAAAGCTCTCCCTTCTCAAAGATCAGGGAGGAAAGAAGGATGCCCACTTTGCAGTACATGTTTCTAATGGAAATTTTCTCAGAAGTATTTAAACATAAATGTAAAAATTCCAGGCAGGTGGCTCATGTCTGTAACCCCGTTTACTTGGGAAATGGTGATCAGGAGGATCTTAGTTCAAGGCTAGCCTGGGCAAAAAGTTAACAGGACCCCATCTCAATCAGTAAGTTTGGTGTGGTGGTATACATCTATAGTACCAGCTACATAGGAGACTATAGGTAGAATCCTGGTCTGAGGCCAGACCAAGGCAAAAAAAACCACAAGACTCTACTGAAAAATAACTAAGACAAAAAAAGGCTGGTGGAGTGACTCAAGTGGTAGTGCCCTGAGTTAATTAAGTAAATAAATAATTTACTTAATTATCAAAAGATAATTAAGTAAATAGATAAATGTAAAAAGAGAAAATTCTACAACATAAGGGCAGTCACTCTTGATATGTTGATACTGTTGCACTCTTCTTTACATAGTGTAGGTATTACTGTATGTTTCACTTTACTTTTTAGTGTTTGTTGGTTTGTTGAAATAGTCTCTCTGTGCATCCCAAGGTGGCTCCAAACTCAAAGATCCTCCTGCCTCCACCTTCTGAGTACTGGGATTACAAGTGTATACCACCATGCCTTGCTGTTTTGTTTTTATGTTTTTTTTTTTAATGATACACAGTTACTGTAATATTCAAATAATATCAGAAAACACCAAGAAAAGAGTAAAAACCAAAGGAACCCTACCCCCCCACAACTGCCATAAAGAACGCACTTTAAGGTCTTTGTGCTATACTTCCAGGTACAATGGCACACATGCACACAGGACTTGGGGTGTCAAGCCATGTCTGTCCTTTTTGTCGGGGGTAACACTAATATTTCCATGAGCAATTAAAGCTGCTGCTACATACTTTAACTTCCTCTCTTTCATGTGACTGTCAGGTTTTTTGTTCTATAATTTACTTGGCAAGCTGTCTTTTCTGGTTTTTGCTGCTATGAGTACTACTGTCTTAGGTGCCATTGGTGTTAATAGTTGCCCATTTCTCTGCGATTGCTGCAGGCTAGATTTCTAGAAACAGAAGCACCTAGGTAAACATGCAAGATACTTGCTACGCAGGACTTTCTGCTGGTTGCTTCTGGTCCTCACTCCAGCCAAGGGCACTCAGTATGCTGTAAGGCACTTGTACCCTCTGGGCTGAGTGTGGACCTTAGGAGCCCCACTTGAAAAACTGGTGAATGTAAATAGAATACAACATGACCTCTGCTGTATTGCATAGTGAGTCCCTCAGGAGTGCATGACAGCAGCAGACCAGACCCTGCTCAGGTGAGGAGGGACATGGGGCACAGGAGCTTGTCTATGAGGTTCTCATGTCTAGAGTATGAGCTGTGGGCAACTGGAGACAAGGCAGGTCTCATGTGCACTAGAGCACTTCCACAACAGCTCACAGTGGGCTATTGAGTTTTTGAAAATTTGATGAAAAGGTAAAAGACTTCTCCCTAGAAAAGCTGTATGGAGATGGAATGTTTATTTCAGTGGTCTGTGGCTCCACTGAGTATCCTGCTCTGGCCTGGGAGTGTTGGCTGAGGGTGGGGAGGTTGGAGGTACATTCAGGGGCTATCAGCATGGGATAGGAGGCAGAGCAGGAACCCACTTCCTGTACCTTTATGTACTCTGGTGTCACGTGATGAGAATTGAATCCTTAACGCACTCATTGTGTGGTCTGTTCTGTCCTCATTGCAACCCCGGGTAGTGTTCTACTCATGTCATCAACTTATAAACGAATGGCAATGCAGGTTTGACCCAGAACAGCAGCCCCGACTTTAACCCTTCGTGCTGGTTTTAACACTTAATTGAGATATAATTCCTTTCCTTAAGAGGTAATTCACCCACCCATACAGGTCAGTAGCTCTTAGTATGTTTGGAGCTATGTGGTTATCACCACATAACTTCAGAGCTTTGTCACCTCCCAAAAAAAAGGCTGACTCCAGTGAAGAGCCACTCTCCCTCCCTCTCCTTAGGCCTGGAAACATTGATCTGCTCTGTCTCTGTGGATCTGTCTGTCTTAGACATTTCCTCTCAGTGGCCCTCTCTGTCTTTCATTTACTGTATCTTCTGGTTCTATCCTTATGGCTGAGTGATCTGCCATTTGTGGACAGCTGGTATTCTGTTGACCTGCCACCTAATAGTGCATGTATATTGAGGTACTTTCACTTTGACTGAAGAATGCTCTTGGGGCCCTCGACCCTCAGTGGCTCTGCAGGATAAACATACTCCACCAGCTTCCTCCGCAGTCATTGGGCACTGTGTGGCCTGTCCATCTGTCCATAGTGTGGGCCGTGGGCCATGGTCCCTGCACTTATCTGTGACCCTAGCTACCAAGCCACGACTTCCTGCCATGCCCACCAGTACAGCAATGGCGGCCTGCTTTTTCAGTGTGACTGTCCCCTCCTCGCCCATCAGGGAGACTCAGGACTGCCAGATGCCCCCTTTGGTCATTGCTGCCTCCTGATTCAGTCAGCAGAGGACTAGAAGCAGTATGGTAGTGAGTCTTAGCTGGTGGCCCTGCTGCCTCAGCAGACAGAGCAGGGCTCATTGTGGGGAGACTACCTGGCACACCTGGATGGCCTAGTGGTGCCTTTTCATGAGAAGTCTTTGCAGGGTACCTAAAGGTCTTTGTTCCAAGAAACTAGACATTGGACTCCTATTCTCCTCCCATCACAAAGATCATGTGTAACTTTGTTTCAGAACCTGTGCTGCCATGCTGTGTGGGGTGGTGGCCATTCTAGGTACCATCTAGCTCAGGTTGCTATGAAACCTGATCTTACAGCAGTGGGTGACCTGGAGCCTTATGTTATGCTGATGTGAAAGTCAGGCAGCTCTGAGGAGTTTGGGTGGGACTCAGTGCTGTGTGGTCTGTTCATGGGATGCTGAAATAGGAATGTGCTCTGGCTTTAGTTGAAAGAATGAGCTGGGGTCTACATCCCTTTGCCTAATCGCCGGCCTAATCACTGGCCTCTGGCTCAGCTGAACCCCCGGCCTGTGACCACAGCCACTGGCATGTGTTCCTGGAGACCACAGGGCACAATGGAGTTGCCTGTGTGACTGCAGGGAGACATCTCGCCAGCTTTGTGAATGTTTCACACTGGAAAGATCCCATAACCTAACAAACACCCATGCTCTGTCTAAGTGACTTGTTAGGGCCGGGGTGGTATCCCCCCCAGCCCTGAAGGCCTAGGTTGTGACCTGTGTTTCTAAGCAGTGAAGGAAGGAAAAGGACCCTAGCCTGGCACATATTGTATCAATCAAACCTAAGGCTCTATGAGAGAGAGAAATTGCTGCCAGTGATTTTTGAGATCCCTGCAGGCTGTGTGCAGTGTCTCACACCTGTAATGCTGCCTGCTCAGAAGGCAGAGGTCAAGAGAACTGCAAATCAAGGACAGCCTGGGGAGAAAGTTAGTGAGACCCCCATTTCAACCAATAAAAGCTGGGTGTGGTGGCATGCATCTGTCATACCAGCTACTTAGGAAACATAAATAGGATCACAGTCCAGGCTGGTCCAGGCATAAATGCAAAACCCTATCTGATTAAAAAAAAATATATAGGGGTAGTGGCATGGGTAGAGTACCTATCTGGCAAGTACAAGGCTCTTGAGTTCAAACCCCAGTACCACCCAAAAAAAGACCTCCTGCACTTTCAGAAATGGTAAGATGAGGAAAATGCACATTTGAAAATTGATATATTAGTATAGAAGTACAGTGCTATTCCAGTTCCTACCTGGCTGGTGGAAATTTCACACACATATACCAAAGGAGGTTATCTTTCCAATTTTCAGATAAAGAAAGTAAAGCTCAGAGAAGACAAAGAAACTTTCCCTGCATCACTTAGTTAGAATCTGGAATTCTTAACACAAATGATCCTACTTGTGTCACTGTGCTGTGCGAGAGTCAGTTCATTCTTTCTGTGACAGATTCCACCCATGTAGTGACAGTCCTCGCTGTCTAGATAACAGACCCCTGCATAAAGAGGGTCAGAAAGCACAAGTGATGGGCAGCTAAGCCTTCACAACTCAAAGAAACTGGACTGCTCCTGCTTCCAAGCCCATAAGCCAGCAGGTGACTTCCCTGATTAGCCTGACACTGGCACACAGAGTTTTTCCAGGAGCTTTCTAAATCGGTTCTGTAGCAGAGCCCAGCAGTATGTATATGAAAGCAATCCAGCAGTTTTTGAGAAGGAGCAGACTCAAAGGATTGCCTTTGCAATGTCAAAGTGTGCCCTGAAGCTACAAAAGGCAAGGGGCAGCCCTGGGCGACTGTGAGCCTGCACTTCAACCCCTGAGGAGTATGGGGTCTTCAGGAAAATTGCCAGTCATAGCTGTTTGGACCAAATGAAGTCAACCCCGTACCATAATACAGTGTGAGTCTGATCTCATGATATAAAACAGAAGTCATTTCTAGATGGATCAAAGATCTAAAAATAATACAAGGACAATAGAACTGATAAAGGATATTGGGAGAATACTTTCATCATCTGGGCCTCTGCATAACCAGATCCACCAAGGAAAAAATTGACAGATGTGACTTGTGAAAATTAAAAATGTATGTGGAGCACATGCTTAGAAGGCGCAGAGGCCCTGGGTTTGACCCCCAGCACTCCCCATGCTCCCACCCCCCCCCAAAAAAAAAGCCAACCTAAAAAACAAAAAGGACAAGTATATCCATAATTCAAGTAAATCAAGTGCGATAGAAAATAAGGAGAGGATGAAATACAAAGTCACAGACAATACCCACAAATATGAAAAACCTGCTTAATTTCAGGAATAATAAAGACAGGAAAGAGAAGATAGAATTCTTTTTCCCTAAAAGACTGACAAAAGTAAAGTTGATGGAGAGTGTCTAGCATGGAGCAGTCAGGAAACTGGCCTTGCCTCCCACTGCGAGTGGAAGGTGACTGGGGCTGACCTGGAGGTGTGGCCTGGAGGAAGTGTGAGAAGCAGGACTCCAGCTGCTGCAGGAAGTGGAATTAGTGAGAGGAGGCACTGCCCTCGAATTGGTGCACTGCTTTAGTATTTGAATTCCTACAGCAAATTCATATACTTTGTTATTTAAATCAAGTGGGTTTTTGATGCTAGTTTCCTTCATTACAAATTGTATCCAGTGGAACAGTTGTTTTGTCAAATCTCTGTTGGAGAGAGAAGCCTTTTTGCAGCCATGCCCCATTTTTCTCTGCAGCCTCTGGGCACTGGAGGGATCTGCACCCAGGGAGGATGGCCCAAACCACTCCATGTTCCCTCCACTCTGTTTTTGAATGATTTTTTTCTTCCCTCCACAGTAGGATCCTAACTCCCTTATTCCCCTCTGGTTATCCCTCACCCAATGGAAATGTTCCTATCCCCTGGGCTGATCAGGGAAGGCTGTGAGTCCAGCTCTAGGTGCAGGTCTGTGACATGACAGTGTCACCTGTGCTAGCCAGCAGCAGAGGTTACTTATTCTGCAGGGGCTTCTTAGACATTGAGTCTCCTTGGCACACCGCTGCTCCCCAGCATACTCATGCACCCTTCTCTTTACAGGCCTTAATCACTGGGGTCTGCAGAGGACCGCCCAACTGCGGGCAGGTGATGGGAACAGTAGGGTTAGGCTGTAGATTCCTGGTAGAGCCGTGCAAGGACCACTGGGCTCTGGGCCTCTCTGGGGCTCAGGGACATCCATTCTGGCCTCCCTTCCCTTAGGGTTTCTGCCCTATGGGATATGTCACCCTGGACCTGCTGAAGTGCATTGCTTTTCATGCCCTTCAATGTGAGAATGGCTAAAGCATTGTTGCTTTTTCCTTAATAAGAGTTTCTTTATTTGTTGGTTCCAGTCACCAAAATTGACCTTTGTCGCTTCCTTCCCCGTCTCTCTGCTTCACTGGACGCGGCCCAGGGGAGTTCTCAGGTGGGTATCTCTCCCATCTGTCTCCATGTCATCCCCTCTTCCTACTGTGGGGGTAGCTGGAGCACGGTGCATACACATGGGTTGCTCCCATGCTGCTGGCCATCACTGAGGGCTCTGTACACTACCCGCTGGCTCCCGTCTGGCTGCACCAGGCTGCCCAGCCTCAAAGCCCTGCGCTTTGCTTATCAGCCTCCTACTGCTCAAAAGCTGATTTGGATTTGCTCCACTGGCCACCAGTAGGCCCTCAATATGTGCGCACACACACACACACACACACACACGCACACACTTCTTCAAACCTGAGGCCCCAGAAGGCCATTTCTGGAGGGTCTTTGAAGTCACTAGAAACATAGGACATTTGGCTTACCCTATCATCTGCACCTCAGAAGTCAAGAGTCCTGTGAGGCCCCTGCCAAGCACAGCCCAGGCACTCGTCCTCACACAGGTAACTGGGCTGAGCTGCTGCTGTCTTACTCTGCAGCATGAGGCCCTGAGGCCCACCTGCCCCTCCAACCATGGCCTCCCAGTGTGCTCAATAGCAGCCATGCCCTGGCACAGTTCCCCTGCCTGTGTAATTTCCTCTGCCTGTCCCCTCCAGCACAGCATGTGGGGACAAGATGTAACTACATTCCCCACAGGTGGTTCTGGCCTGGCAGTTTGCTATGCAACCTAAGGATAAACTTTCCAGAACGGATAGCTGGCTTCATCCCGTCCCCTGCTCTAACATCCCTCTCCTGTGCCCACCCTAACCCAGCCAGAAGTGGCCCTGAAATACCACTTACCCTGCTGTCTACATGGGCTTAACGCGCTTCTTTTCTTTCCCTCCTTCCCCGCCCTGTTGCCCATCTCCTGTGGGACTGGGACGCTCCCGTAGTGCGCGATGATTTTTTTGGTAAGGCCAAGGCCCTGCTTCAGTGTGTGTTTTTTCTTCTTTCTGGCTTCTTCTCTCTACCTGACATCTTCTCATGCTTCATGAGCCGTTTGCTTTGTTCTGCATGGTGGGATGGTGGCAGGGTCAGCAGGGGCCTCGGGCTTTCCAGGCACCACAGGCCTGTTGTGAAGTGTCACTCTTGCCTCAGCTGTCCATGGAGGTTACATCTCCCCTGAGCTGTTGGTCTCTGTGGACAAACTGTTGTTGGCCTCTGTAAGCCTCCACATACTCCTGACAGACTCTGTCCCTGGGTGTTCCCCTAAGCTGGGGGATCCTGGTCCCTGCTGCACCCTGTCCAAGGGGGAAGCAGCCCATGTTCCAGGCAAGGGAGGTCAGAATGGACAGCAGGCAGGACTTCCTCCCCAAACACCTGGCTGGTCTTTGCTGTTTCATGACTGTATACACACTGGAGTGGGGAAGCGAGGCCAGGTCTTGGGGTTTGAGGCCGTCCTGAGGATTAGATTTGCTACTTAGGGTTTATAGGACATTGCCTGCAGGGAGCTATCTGTGGGGTCTCCTTTGGGACTGGTGGCAAAGGGGATGGGTCAGTTTCTCCATAGGAAGGTGCCAGGGAGCCTCAAGTCTACTCCCCTCTCCACCTGCTGACCCCATTATCCAGGGCCGGTTCCTGCCAGACCTGCTTGGAGCCTCTTAAAGGGCCATACCTGCCATATGTCATCCTATCTCCTGGCCAGGGGTTTTCTAAGTCCTGCACTGTCATTTCTGTCCCCCTTTCACCATGGCTTCAACATCCATTCACCTGGAGGGTGGCTCTGAAAGTCATGTACTTCATGATAGGCCTGGAAACCATAGATGGGGCAGTACTAGAGGGCATGAGTGAAGTGCTGCACAGAGGCCACTCCAGGCCCTGCCAGTTCAACTGACTTCCCATTGTGAGGGAGCTGTGATGAATACCTGAAACCCTGAATGAGAAAGCATGGCCTTCTGCCAGGTGCAGGGCTAGCTGGAGAGCCCAGGGCTGTGGGGGCCTCTCTAGGACTGAGTGTTCTTCCCTCTGCATCTCAGTTTCCATACACATAGGAGCATCTGATCCTCATTCCCTCCCAGCAGCCCTCTAGGTACAGGCCCAGGAAAGTTTGTTGCTCAGGGGCAGAGATAGGTGCAGTAGCACCAGGGTCGGCTTCACAGGACTTCGGGAAAATCTTTGTACCTCTCATTTCAGGAATGGGCAAAGAAGTGGGGAACCTGCTGCTGGAAAACTCACAGCTTCTAGAAACCAAGTAAGAGGCCCTCTGTGCTGCAGCTGGGTAGCCCTCTCACTAGGCCGTAGCCTGACCCAGGCCAGGAGCCACCAGGAGTGCTCTGTACCCACTGTGTCCACTCCCCTGAATTGGCTGGCCTCTTGGACAGAACCATTACCAGCATCTGGAGGGAGGGGGGACTCAAGGCAGGACTGTTGCATGGTTCCTTCAAGAAGTTTATCTTAAAGACTCTTTGGCTAAGGTGACCAAAGCATCTGGTGCCCAGGTAAAATAAATAGACAAATTGGCCAGGATGTGACTGAGATGTGCAGGCATATCCCTCCAAAGTCCCCATCACATGAGTGCCCACAGGCTCATATAAAACCCTCATGTTTCTGCCTTTTGAAGAAATGCCTTGAATGTGGTGAAAAACGACCTCATTGCCAAGGTTGACCAACTGTCAGGGGAGCAAGAGGTGCTTAAAGGAGAGCTGGAAGCTGCCAAGCAGGCCAAAGTCAAGCTGGAGAACCGAATCAAGGAGTTGGAAGAAGAGCTGAAAAGGTAAGGGGATTAGGAGGAGTGAGTGAGGCTCTGAACCTGAGTTTTCAAGTGACTTGCCTCTCTGCATGTCCTCCCTGAATCCCACCTCTACCTGCAACATCCAGAGAGGCCCTTCTTCCCAGAACAACTTTGTATGCTCACTGCTCAGCCTCCTCTGGGCTCCAGCTCCAAGTCTAAACCACTGGGTGGGGGTCCATTGTCTGCCCATTCCTCATTTCACCTCCAGAGCCTATTTGCCCTGGCCAGGTGCAGGGTCCTATCCTGTGAGCCTGTCCTATGGATGGTGGTATCAGCCTTGGCTACAGTTCTCACCCAATTCCTTCATTCAGAAGCAGTGAGGGGGACCATGGTCATCTGGTTGTCCTGGCACCCCATGCCCCTTCCTCTCCTTAGCCCTCCAGTCAGCCAGGGTCAAGGCCACAAAGCCTGTTTAGAGACCTGCACTCTGGCTGCAGCCCTTCAGCAACAGGAAGGGTAGTGTAAAGGAGGGCCCATGGGAACCAGGTCTGCTCTGGACTTGCCTGACCAGTCCTGCCCAGCAGTATCCCTGGCTTTGTTCCCTCTCAACCTTTGACCACCTTGTCCTTGGCCAGAGAAGCCAGACTTCTGGGCTTTTGAGGCACATGTCAAGTAGGATGAGGGTCCCAAGGCTCTGGCAAGACCCTCATCCTGCCTGCTTCTTCCTTTGAAGAGTGAAGTCCGAGGCCGTCATTGCCCGCCGTGAGCCCAGAGAAGAGGTGGAGGATGTAAGCAGCTATCTCTGTACATTTGAATATGGTATAATTTCCACTATTCCTGGTGGCCTGGGCATGGCAAGGGCACAGGGTGGGGACTGGGACCACTGCCTTATCGATTAAAAAGTCATATGACCTCTGAACCCAGTGTATGATGCTGTCCTCACCCCGCAACTTCATAGCATCAGCCACCTCCTTGATAGATGTCTCTCTGGAGTGATCAACGGATCA